CCTCCCAACCCCCATAATTACATTGGAGAAGACAGACCATGACTTGGTCCCTCTTTGGAGAAACTGTGGAAACATGAGTCTGTCTACAGAGCAACATCCCCAGACAACCACATTACCACACTCGCTGCTTACAATCTAAAGCCCCCCCAGTGCACATGGTGAGGAAAAACCACCAGCATGCACACAGCATGCTGCATGTTGTGGATTTCAAGGGCAGCTGGCACAAATGGGCAGCGCAAAGTCCAAGCAATCCTGTTACCGTATATTCCGGCATATAAGACGACTTTTTATACTAAAAACATCCCCCAAAAATCAGGGGTCGTCTTACACGCCGGGTATAGAACATCCCTGTGCTGATACTGTATGTCCGTGGTCCCCAACACGGTGCTCGGGGCCAGCCCCGGGCACGCGGCGTTTGGCGGTGGGGGGAGGAGCGCCGGCCCCGGGCGCATGGCCATGGGGGGGGGCCGGCCCCAGGCGCGCAAGTGTCCCTGCCCCCTGGCAGGTGAACCACAAGATGTCATTGATGAACTTATGATGTCAGAGGATGAACATGATGAGGATTTTGAAGGATTTTAAGTACCGGTATATCAAAACCATTTTAATTAAAATTATTTAAATCAAATCTGATGTTATTAAATGGTGTTGCCTCGGAAGGGGGGGGTAGTCTTATACGGCGAGTATAGGCCAAAACCTATGTTTTAACTGGAAAATTAGGGGGTCGGTTAATACGCCCATTTGCCTTATACGCCGGAAAATACGGTAGTTCAATAAAAGCTGCTTTTATTACAAAATGGAATGTTATGGTAGTGGCTAAAACTTTAAGGAAACTCAACTACAGCCATGGTACTTTGGGGGCTGCCTAACCAACTCCCCACAAAAATTCATAATAGATGCTCTACTTTTTAAGTTGAACCAAACACTTTTCCTTCAGTTTTCTCCTCATGTTGCAAATGCACAGGGAACGTGTATTCCACCCCCTTAGACATTGCTGAGGTATCTTCTAAAAGGATTTTTTGGTGAGGCCCAAATAATAATTTAACAGAAAGCCCAAGCAAGATACAACCCCATTGGCATATTCCAGCTAATACCTCCATTAGCCAACCATTCAGCATTCCCAACTCAGCTGTATTTACAGCTTTAGCAGTGAAGCTAGTAGCACAGCCTCAAATAAAAAAATGAAATTACCATTTCAATTCTTCGTGTGTAGGGGCAGCTCCACCGCATTCAGCCAATCTCTCTCCTACAGTTTGCAAGGCTGTTGCTAAGTGTGGAGATTCAACGAGAGATTACAACTGTAGCAAAGACCGTTTTTTAGTATAGGAACCAGAGGTTCAGGATCATCATCTACTGCCTGAATCATGGTAGCAAGTAGGAGCCCCAGTCATGGACCAGGCATTGTGCTAGGCACTGTACACACAACAAAGATAGTTCTTACCCCAAAGTGCCTCAGTGAAAACACACAGGGAAAGAATGGGAAACATTACTCTGAAGTAACTATCTTCCAAGGTTCCAACACTGCTCTGGAAAGCAAGGTATCAGCAGGAGTTGACCACATTTTGTTCTTGTCAGTACCTTGAGGCTGGAGCTAGTTAACACTTTCAGCATTATCTTGTCACAAGAAAAATACTTTCTAGATCCAAACTATTTCCTAACACAAGAAGAGATTGGAGCCCACTGCCTGAGCTTCTACCCTCATCCACAGCAGCACCCATTCTTATTCAAAACCAACCACAGGAAATCTCCGCCCCTTTTAAAATCTATTTTCTTCAGGGTAAGGACTGAGCAAACAGTTAAAATCGAGCCACTAATGGAGACATCAATGACTTAATTACAGGTGTCTGAACAGTTACCTGCTTGCTCAGAGCATAAGCATTACAGTGCCACAGCATTATCTTCACTTTCCCCATTTTCTCAAACATTCACACAGGGGAAGAGAAATATATTTTTTAAATGGGACATGTGATTGTTTCTTCACAACTGGCAGGGGACACCTGTTGCCTGCAGCTAACTTGATTCAGGCCACTTACACCAAAATCTTCCCAATACTCTCTTTTAGTTCCCGAACCCCATCCCAGAGATTTACCTTATACATGTCCTTTATCATCCTTACTTTCTGCTCTGAAGTGAGTTTGATCTCTGCTGCCTGCTGTTTACAGACCTCACTCTGGCTGGTGAGCGTCACTACTAGCCTAGTTGAAGGACAAAGGTTATCAGCAGCTGCATTCTGCACACAGTACTCTCATTTCAAAGGCTCGGGGTTTATTCTGGTTTACCAGCACCACAAAGCAGCTGCACCTTCTCAAACAAATTCACAAGAGCTGCTGCACACTGAACCACCCCTATGGAAAACTGACTGCCTGAAGAAAGTTTCCCTTCAGCACATGAATCCATTAAGATCTCCTTTGCGAGTTTCTATTAGGTGCCTATCAGGTTTAATAAGAACTGTTGGCAGGAGAATGTATACATGTTGCCCAAGTTAAGGGTAGTCCATTGAACATGTAGGGCAGGAGTGGGGAACCTATTATAAGTAAGGGGCCACTGATCCATTGAATTAGCCCCAACTGAGGAGAAAAACATGCCCCACATTCCCCTTCCTGCTGCAGTAGGGCAGCAGAGGGGCTGGAGCCAGTGCATGCTCCTCAATGCTGGGGGGGGAGGGGAGAGGCTGAGCCTCGGGGGCCGCATCCAGGCAAGTAGGGGGCCACGTCCCCACTCCTGATAGTAGTATATTTGCTCTCTGCACATGGAAAGAGTTACTGCTCTTACCCTAGACCCATGTAAGCAAACCCTGTAAAACGGCAGACACAGGAATGCTTGTAAGATTACAGCCAAGTGTCTAGCTGAGCCAGTTTTCACAGTAGTAATAGCTCATTGAGTACTGCTGCTGTGGTCAGAGCTCAGGAGAATTAGACAATCTGCCGTCATCTGGTCACATCCATCTTCAGCTTCCACACACAATGTGTCCAACTCCCTTAGCATGTGAACCAGTGCTGTTGCCATACTGGCTAGAGTCAGAGGAATACACAGCAGACCAGGGTCTAGGAAAGGGAACTTTAATTGCACTTTACAACGAAAAGCGGTGGTATGCTGAAGAGAAAGCATGATGAGCTTTTATTGACACCAACAACTCCTAGTCAGAGCAACAGGAACAGCTTCACTCCTTCCTGATTAGTTGCTGGGATCCTTTGTTTCCCGTTCTTGTAAGCTCTGACCAGGACTTCCTGCAATCTTGAACCTGGCACAAGCTAGTTCTTGAATTTGGAGGCATTTTGACTGAACCCAATCCCACTGGCTCTACAAAGCTCAGTGGCACTTGGCAATGCTGCACTCACCCTATACACAACAAGGGAAAGTTCGCAGAAGGAAGGGCACCACTGGGAACTGCAGCCACACCAGAGCAATTCAGAAGAGGTCTGAGACAATTCCCAATGTGGCCCAATCTATCTTGTTGACTGCAGCAGCAATTCCCAAATTCACAAGTCACCCCTATCAGCAGTGCTGTAAAACCTGGGCAGTACTAACTTCTCCAACGGCAGCTCCCCTAGCATGTGACCCACTAGATTCAGTTACTGGGAAAGATAAAATTGTGGAGGCTGAGGCAGAAACCTGGTACCAGATGGGCTAAGAGATGATCTCAGGCCCTTGGAATCAGCTCCCAGGGAAACCGAGGCTCATAACCTCTTTCTTTATGTGCATAACTATTCCAGATAGCTCATCTAGCTGTACAGCTCAGGGCAAGACTTGCAACTCCTTTCCATCTGAGCTGCCTCTAAGAGACTGCAAAACGTAAGGGTATTTCACATCAATATCAGTCATTTAAAGACCAAAAAAACCCCTCAGCTTGTTTGCTACTCCTTTTTTGGGACCCTAAGCAGTCAAAATACTCTGTCAAACTCTGTCTGATTGGTTGCAGCCGGATTCCTGCCCTGATTAGCTGGCTGCTGCGGCATGTGTCCACCTCTTCTCCTGGGTGGAGCCAAGTACTCAAACATTGATTGATTGTGAGTGGAGAGCATGTTCTTGAGATCAGAGGGCATCGGGTCCGACCAGAAGAAGTCATGATTTAGTGCATCGTCACTGTCTATTCTTTGGGCAGGATCCAGAACGAGCAGTTTGTCTATAAGATCCAGAGCATATGGGTCTTTGACATAGGCTTTCAGGCGATCTTTAACCTTGCGCTTTTGGCCCTTGGGCAGGTCCAGTTTCTGGTACAGCTCATACTTATCCACATTTGGCCAAACCTAGAGAAGGCACAAGAAACATCAGCCTTAGAGAAAAAGACAGCTAAACCATTTAAAAGCCTCATGTTGATGCCCTTTAAATCCCACATGCATGCTGCATTCAGCTGTAGTGGAGAAACAAACCAACCAGTTATTTCACTATACACCCTTTAGGGCAGGGATGGGGAACTTAAGGCCTGGGGGCTGGATGCAGCCCCCAGCTTACTTGGATCCGGCCTTTGGCTTTCCAGGATCCAGCCCCCCAGGGGCTCGGGGCTCCCCTCCCAGCATTAGGGAGCCTGCACTGGTGTTCCAGCCCCTTGCTATCCCACCACAGGGTTGGAGAGCGCGCGCGCGCACACACACACACACACACACACACACACACACACACACACACAACCAGCCTGGACTTCCCAAGGCTCTGGTGTGGGAGGGGAGTGTCTTTCTTCTTCTCAGTTGAGAGACACATCAGAGAGGGGCTTTGTTTTGTTTTTTGCTTCTCACTTGTGTGGAACCCACAACTGATTTTTCTGTGGGTTAGCAGCTTCCCTACCCAAAAAAGGATTCCCCACTCCTGCTTTAGGACCCTCCCACGACAGCCACTAGGGTTTTGACTGTTGCAGTCTAAGATGGAATGCATTCGAGTGCTAGCGAAATGAGCAGCAGTATAAAATCCTAAGGCAGATACTGCACTTGGAGATACACAGGAAAAAAAAAAATCAGAGGGAGAAATCTAGTTGTGCTCCTTTAAGCCCCTCTATGATACTCATCTACCTCAGAGAGCAGCTGTACAGTTACATGGACTAGTCAATAATGAGAATGCACAAAAGAAGCAGTCTACTCCATAGCTTAAATGTATACAGCATCTTTCATCCCAGCAGGGCTCAGACTCTTCTGCCAACACACTCCCTCCCATCAGTCCCGCTCTGGGTGGAATGTGACAAGTGCTTATTTTATACATTCACCTACACACACAAATGAAGGTCACGGGCTGACAGTCCTGGAGATCAGCATCATATTTATCTACAGCACACATATAGTCAAGCAGCAGCAGTGTAAGGCTGCCTGCCATAGCCCACTATGCCACAGCCCTGACTTGAAGAACCATCCCTAGGGGTCAGACACAATGGACTGATTCCAGACAGTGGCTTCTCTTCTGAAAAAACTAGAGCCCAAAATGGTGGTGGTTTGAGAAAGAATGGTCAATTAGCAATTAGGCAGAAATCAAATCCATTTCACACAGACCTCTCAATAGCCACACAACAGTGCAATGTGATTGGTGCCACGTATCAGACAGACTCAGACCGACCATCTAGAAATGAAAAGCACTCTCTCATATTAAGTCATGGCCCATTATCAATCCCCAATATGGCAGCTGCTGAGGACTCTCTTGTGGCTAAAGCACAGGACTGAAAGCGGAGACATCTGGGTTCAATTTCTGTTCACTCACTGACTTGTTGAGACACCCTAAGCCAGGCATGTCCAAAGTCCGGCCCGCGGGCCAATTGCGGCCCGTGTTCTGGTTTAATACGGCCCCACAGGTAATTTGGCAATATCTATCTTTTATGGCCCCCAACGAATCCATATGTATTGAGATGAATACATTGTAAAATCTCAGTTAATGTCAGTTGGTCTAAATCAGTTATAAATATATTTGGACACAACATGTATACTTGGTGTTATGTTCCTGTTCATATTTTTTGAACTTAAAAGTTGACAGACAACCTTTATTACCAATAATATGTAATGTACTTTACAATGTTCCTGACATATATTTCAGCTTCCTGGATTTTTTTCTCATCTGGCCTTCAGATATGAAAGACAGAGTGATTTAACACCTGTTTAGATTTGTCATCCATGTGACGAAATGAAAAGTATGCTGTTTGCAATAAACTTTGCATAAAATAGTTAATTTGCATTTAATTTTAATGGTTCAAAGAATGTCAGGCAAAATGGTCGGCCCTCACGCATGTTCACTTCCTCAAATCTGGCCCTCTTTGAAAAAAGTTTGGACACCCCTGCCCTAAGCAAATAACTTCAGTTCTGTGCCTCAGTTTCCCTAGCTGTAAAGAGAGAGTGATACCTCATGGAGAGAGTCTAATTCATTGTTTCTCTTTGGCAGAGGTGCAGGCACAGAGCAGTGTATCATTTTGGATTCAGTAAACATGCCTGATTCCTTCAAGGGGCAATGCACACCTTGAGCAACCCTCTTCCCACTCTTGGGGCATAAAGGGTTTCCCTTCTGAGGCAGCAGATAGGTATATTACTTGCTCAAAATCCCCCAGCAGGTCATCCAAAGGCAGGATTAGATCTCAGGCCTCCAGGCTCATAAACCCATGCCCATATAATGTCACCACACTTTCCCACGGGTGCTGCATTCCCAGGCTTTGGAGTGCCTACCTCCGGAGTGATGGATCCACAGAGCTGGCTAATGAGAGTGAGCTGATGTTGTTCCGTGTTCCCTTGCATGATGGGGCTGCGAGTCCACATCTCTGCCATGATGCAGCCTGCACCCCACAGGTCAATAGGGGGGCCATAGTCCCGTTCCCCTAAAGAGATCAACACCAGGTTAATCATTTAGCCTCTAATATTAGCATGCTCCTCAAAGAGATTTACACCCAGACTGAGAGAACAAAACAGAAAAGGGGACAGGGAAATCGAAAGCAAAGAAAAGACGGGAGAATTCACTGTGTAATTTCTTGGGTACCCAAGTCTCCCAGCTACCTAAGAGAAGCTCTGGAGGCCGATACCACAGAGTCACCACCCGGTTGGTGTAGCGGTTGGGCTGGCTGTTTTTTGCCAGGCTGAAGGCTCGAGCCAAGCCAAAGTCTGCCAGTTTCAGGACCCCATCTCGGGTGATGAGTACATTTGCCGCTTTCATATCCCGGTGCAAAATCTGTGCGAAGGAGGAAATTGAAAGTGAAGACACTAAGGCATGATCTACCAGTCCAGCTATCTCCATCACAAAGATCCCCACCACCAGGAAGATGAATGGGGCACGTTCAGACCCTCACAAAAAAACCTTACTAAGTCTACAATTGGGCCTCGGCGAACTCCTCAGCAAATAAACCCATTGGGAACAAATATCTGAGAGCATCTCACAGAGCATGGAGCTGGATGGAGCGAGCAGTTACAGCTGAGGACCTAGAACTGCTGAAAGGTACTGCAATCATAACCCTGCTGTAATCCCCAATACAGATAGAGCAGAGGCAGTAGCATGGCAAATACCCCCCCATCAACTAATGTGGTTCATTCTGACCTTGGGGAGCCAGGGCAAACTCAGATTACATAGTCCAGTCAGTCTTGGGCCCTTGTGTTAGCTGTCACAGCACAGCTATGCATTAGCTCTTGGACTTAGAACATAGGTCACTTTAATTCAGTTTTCAGGTGCAGTGTTTCTTTGGACACCATATGCTGCAATGTTACAAACACTGTGGTGGGTTTGATGCTCTGAAGGATCCTTTCTCCCTCTTCAGAAAACACATCATAAGTGGTTATTTGGCCATCACTGGCTCTGCTAAAGCTTTCTCCCTCCCACCACTCATAGGAGCCTCCCAGCATCAAACCTTGCGGCAGAGAACAATTGTTACTGATTCATTGTTAAGACACCCTGAAATGTATACACATCCCAGAGTGCAGAACTAGCAGTCCAGCTACAGACACTGGCCTGTATCTTAGAGTACATGCAAGGCCACTGCAATCTCAGCCCGCAAGCCTGAGAAGTGAATACAGGAATACAGATAATTTCCTTTACCTTATTCCTGTGAATGTAGTAAAGACCGTTGAGCAGCATCTGCATCACTTTCTTGATCTCTGATAGCGTGAACTTCACATGGGCGTTGCTAAGGAGGCCCGCAAGGTCGTGCTCACAGAAATCAAACACCAGGTAGATGCTGCCCTTGCAACGATTGTATGGGGAGGCTATGAGAGAAGTGGTGTTTTGTTGTTAAGGAGGTCTATTAACCCTAACAGTTCTCTACCTCACACTGACTGCTAGCTCTCCCTTTGACAAGCTGCAGTACCAGGTTAGCATTTGTCACTGAAGGATGAGAGTGTCACAGGTAGGGATGTAACAGGGAGGCAAGAGTTGGTGGAAGCCAGGTTAAAAGCAAGTTCCCCACCAGCATCACCTCCACGGGTGGCGGAGGCGGGGGAGGCAGAGGCGGGGGAGGCAGAGGCACAGAGAGGCACTGGGCCTGAGCAAGGAATCAGCTGATTCCCTGCTCAAGCCCAGTTCCCCTCCCCTGCCGCTCTGCTTGTGCTTTTAAAATGTATTATGGGTCTAGTGGCTCTTAATACATTTAAAAAGGCAGGGCCACAACATGGTCAGCTCTGTAGCTCAGCAGTTTTGCCCCCATATCAGTCAGTCAATGGATATTCCATCGACTAGTCAATTAGCTGATTAAATACCATTTAACATCCTTAGTCACAGGGCCCTGCACGTCCCTCTCCAGTCAGCTGTAACTTTCAGTCCGCAAGTAGAACAGAAGGTTTAGTGGTTGACAGGACACAGCGTTGAACAGTCTTGAAAGCACAGAAATTAGGAACAGAAATCTGGAAGAGGGGGGCCAGAGTCAGGGCCCTCTCTCTGCCTCCCAAGCCAGCACAAACTGATCCACTCCCAGCTCCTGGTCCCATCCAGGGTCTTCCCTCCAGACTTTTTCCCTACTTCCTGGGCAAAAGGTCTCACCTGGCTGCATTCCCCTTGGACTCCGGTTACGAAGGGCCATTGTGTATGGTGCAGGAGGCTATCATACCCAAAATTCCTATCATCTAGATATTGGTACAGTGCCCCAGGAAACTGAGGTGCATGCACACACACTGGGTTACTGTAGGACAGTAGAACTAACATACAACATAAGGTAAATAAAATGCCCAGTTTTTCACACCATTCAACTCAGGAGGTTAATACTAATACAAGACTAAGAAACAGAAAGCAGCATAACTCTGTATTATGGTCACTTAGCTAAGCAATCAAAAGCCAAGATGAACACACAACTACAACCATACCAGTCCCCTTTCACCACACACCTCCAGAGTTTTCAGCAATACTGAGAAATGAGGGTATCCATGTCCATCAAGGATCTTGGTGTCTAGATATGCACATGGCTATCAATGGAAAAGTATGGGCAGGGCTCGACAAATAATGCAATCTACTTGCCCATGGCGAGTAGATTGCAACCCGGAAGAGCCGGGTTCGGGTGAGCTGCGCATGCGCAGATCACCGGACAGTGCGGCTGGCGAGTGGGGCTCGCCGTGGTTCAGCAAGCCCTGGGCATGGGGAATGCAGGAGGAGTTACAGCAGCAAAGATCATGGCATGGGTACATGAAGCACATTGACTATGGTCATCTACATTCAAAAAAGATGAATTGCAGAGGAAATGTTTAACATAGGCAAACGAAGGCTGAGCTGGAATGACTGCTCACTTCAATGCTGGCAAACAATATTGTTGAAAGCTGTGAACATACTCCTGGAGGTAAACACCAAGGAGGAGGAAGAACTACTGAAGCTAAAGGAGATTAGAAGGTCTAAAAACCATCAGTGAAACGAGGCTCTGAAACAGTCTCAACAATAGTAGAGAAGGCAAAACACCTATTTGGCTTTAAGATGGAGCTTATAAGTTTCAGCAATATTACACAACAGGGCTGCCAGTGATAAGAGGGGACATGGGATGTAAGCGAGTAGTCGAATTATAAACTATCCAATAAAGCTCCCCTTATAGACTAATCATGCAGTTGATACAAATAACCACTCTAATATCTTTAGAGGGGACTGGACTTGATAACCCAGAAGGACTGCACAAAACAAAGGACACTTCTGTTGCTCAAATGCTGTCTTACATAATACAAGGTTTTACACAGCCTTCAACAATATTGTTTGCTTCCAGGAGTGCAGATGCACTATACAAACACAGGAGGCAACACACTCACTGCCACAAAGAGACAAAGTTTGCAATGCAGAGGGAGGACAAACAGCCATTCAATTGACTGAACTGTGGAACCACAAGGCCTTTAAATGCCTGTACAAAGGGCGTGCAGCCAACAATTGCAAAAAAAACCCAAACCACCCACCACTTTAAAGGCTGAAAAACTTGTTACATTTCTTTCCAGAGTGTCAATTTTTTGGGAGGGAGGTGTTAGAAACCCCCAGAAACATGAATTTGTAATGTCACACACACAGTCAATTGCAGTACTGCTGGATTTCCGACAAGCTTACAAAGGCGTCTCCTAATCAAGCCGAGATGCAATCATAGCTATCCGGCTGCAACCTCAGCACATATGATGTCCTCTCTTTAGGATAAAGCCACCACCACCCATAGATCTCTAAGTACTTTACAAAGCACATCAGTATCTTTTATCCCAGTTTTACAGATGGAAAAACTGATGTGCACTCACCAGGCCACTGTTATCCAAACGAGGCAGATATGCACCAAAACCTATGGACAAACCATGCTATTTTGTATTGGGCTAGTGCATTTCACTGAGAAAAAAATAAAGGGTACACTAGAGATCAACTGATGTAAGTTAAAAAAATAAAAAGGAGGAACTAAAATGTGCTACCTTTGGTCCTGCAGATTTCTATGAGGTTCACTACATTCTCATGCTTGAGCAGCTGAAGGATTTTGATCTCACGCAGGGCTGTGATGGGGAACTAACAAAGAGCCACAAGTTAGAATTGCAAGAGAAGATCCCAGTCTAATCTAGATCAGGGGAGGGGAGGAAAGGGGAGAGGAGATAATTATGGCAGAAATCTCAAAGAGATGTATTCAAGCAGACAAAGTGCTGCTGCTCAAACCACAGCTAGGGTCAGAACAGAGCCTAACACCAACATTGTGCAGTTCCAGATTTATTCACAGTGACTTCCAGTTTATAACTCTTAGCACCTAGTAACTAAAATAGCTTGTGTTGACTGTCCGGAACACCAGACTGGATAAACTACTTAAAAAAACCCCTGAGATGTGGAAGAGAATCCAGTGTGTTGTTGCTTCTTGAGATGACCAGCAAAAGCAATACTGATGTTTGCCATTAAAACATGGAGACACTTGTTAATGTGTGATCCCAATTAGAATGCAGCTCCCCATCTCCTCAATGTATGAACTTTACCATGTGAGCAGAAGTGAAATCTTATTGGGCTCAACAGAGATGCGATTCAGACACCCATGTAACATGGAAAGACTTTTGTTTTAAACCAAGTTACTTCCTGATACATAGGTAGGGGTTTAACTGGTTAACCAATTAAGGGGAGGTGCAGTCCAGATGGGCTGGAGCAGCCTCTGCCTGCAGTGCACCCAGGCCCACTGCCAACAGGGACTGCTCTGGACAAGCTACTCCGGACACTCAGGAGCTACTCCAGCCCCCACAGTTTAACTGTTTATCCAGTTAACCTTTTACATCCCTAATACACAGAGCAGCACAACACTTTCTAAATTGAAATTATTTCTATATTGGTTTTTACTGCTGTAGATCCTGCAAAGTTACACACACAATGAATTTCCATATCCCACAAAGATTGAGACATTGTCTACTAAAGACATATGCCCAGCTCGCAAACTCCCACCCTTCTAACCCAGACACAGTAGAGGCACATGCCCAGCCATCTTACCCCCTCCTTCTCATTTTCCATCAGCACTTTCTTCAGAGCCACTTTCTTGCCTGTCTGCCGATGTTTTGCTTTGAATATTTC